CAAATCTTGAGAAGTTACAAAAACACATGCTTTAAGGAAAAGAGAATGTCGTGATTTAAAACACCAAACTTTGACTTCATTCCTTTTTTTTTTTTTTTGGTTGGTTGTGGGGCTTGAACTCTGGGCCTGGGCGCTGTCCCTCAACTCTTCACTCAAGGCTAGCACTCTACTGCTTGAGCCACAGCACCACTTCTGGTTTTCTGGTGGTTAATTGGAGATAAAGTCTCACGGACTTTCCTGCCCAGACTGGCTTTGAACTGTGATCCTTAGATCTCAACTTCCTGAGTAGCTAGGATTACAGGCATGAGCACTTGGGCCTGGCTTCATTCCATTTTGTAACTGAAGAGGTGTGTTACCAGCACAAGGATGTTTGGATGGCCCTGTGTCTAATTGGAGTCCAGCATTCTTGTCCTCCCATAGTTGCTGCTTTCTCCAGCAAAGTTCATAGGTCACTCATGAGGAGACTGGTAGAGCTCTCAGGGCTGCCCATTTGTTTTTCTATGTTTAGTTTTCACTAGTACTTAAGAGGTTGTTAAAATTAGCAAATGAGGTCTCTATAGTGAATTTCTGTTGAATAACCAATATAACATTCTGTATTGATATCCTCTCAAATATGAGTGAGGTGAATGTATCATCTGTCATAATAATGAACTTTTTGGGTAAATAGTGATTTTTTTGTGTCCTTAAAAAATACACAAAAGCTTTAAAAGGGGGGAAAAGTAGAAACAAGAAACATGTTTCTTTTTTTCCTGTACCAAGAGTAGTATCTAAGACCTTATATTTAATGATCTAGAGTGTGACTTAGTTCCGAGTCTTAGTTGAGTCAGTTGAAAGCAATGCAGAGTTTTAAAGAAAAATGTCTTCAGAAGTAAATATCCTTCAAATTTGAGGCAATAAAGAATATTCTTACTCGGGGGTGAAGGGGTGTAGATGGGAAGAGATAGGAAGGGGAAACAAAGGAGGAGGCTACAATGCTTGATAAGAAATGTACTCATTATCTTGCCCATGTAATTGTAACCCCTCTGTACAGTA